GATCGCATCTTTATTTAATTTTTTTATATACATGTTGGAGCTCTAAAAGGGAGACCATTGTGAATCTGACTAAAATCTCCAAGGATGGTATAAATCAGGGTACCTAACCTTTTCCAGGCTGCGGGCACCTTTGAATTCTGACACAGCATGGTGGGCACAGCCACAAAATAGCTGCCACGAAATGGCTGCTGCAGGAGGTGGAGCTAACCACAAAATGGCTGCCATAATTTACCTTCAGTTACATAATGAAGATCCTTATGCTGTGGTGGCAGCTACTGGCAAAGCAACATCTTTAAAAATCTGCACGGCCAATCAAATCTCCAGTGGCCAATCAGAAGCCTTGCTGAGCCAAAGCTCCACCTGACCCTGCCCACCTTCTAAAAACACTTGAAGGGCACCATTCTTGCCCATGGAGACCATGTTGAGGATCCCTGCTTCCCCATCTCCCTCCATTATCTTTAACAAGACACTCCGCTACCCTTTACATTCAATATGAAGGTTTAAAATGCTGTCCTTCCTTACAAGGTTGTTGTGAATATAACTATGCAAACAGCTTTCAGTGGGATAAGAGGGTTTCATTATCACAGCCTGTCTAATTCATCTGTTCATTAATTGCTCTCACCCCTCTTTATTTCTTCCTTTCCTCTTCGTTTCTATAAAGAATCCTGAATTTCAGAGTATAGTCGATGGCTGTACTTTACAAATATTGCATCTTTCATATTAAATCTGGTAAAATCTGAACACAGATTAAAAAAATCTTAAAGGTTTTTGGGGCTGAAACATGTAATCATGCTCTTCTTGCAAGGCTGCATGGGTAAAAAAATCCTCTTGTATTTTGCACATATTTTCCTCCAAGTTTAAAGATTCGGTTTGGATCTCATCGCTTATTGTCATCCAAGTCTTCGTCTAGTGGTAAATACTGTGGGTGCCCAAAAAATCTAGGAGGAAGAGAAATAATACAGTGAAACTTCAGGACATGCCAGTTGTAAACTGCCCTGTTGCCAAACTGGTTCTCTGGGGGGTATTTTCCGCATTCCACATCGACAGTTCAGGGTTTAACAGGACGCTTGAAGGCCAGTTGTGAATTCCCAGTACATACAGAGCCAGCCAATGTGACAAGTACATGTAGATTTCTGGCAGTTTCCCACACAGAAGTGCCTTTTCTAAAGGCATTGCAACTCTTAGACATGTCCAGATTTTTTTAATTTCAGGTAGCTCTTTACCTCCAAAGTTGCTGTGCATGGTGGCAAAGCCAGAATCGGCTGCAACAGCTGAGGAGTACACTGTGTATAAGTGCAATACAAAATCTGGCTTATAAAATGATTGGTTATGGCAAACAAATTCCAATTAGGGCTGCCAACCTCCAGGTGGAGCCAGGAGATCTGCTTTTGCAATTGATCTCTGTAAAGTGATCAGTTCCCCTGGAGAAAATGGCTGTTCTGGAGGGTGGCCTCTATGGCATTGTACTTGGCTGAGGTCCCTCTCCTCCCCAAACCCTGTCACCTCCAGGATCCACCCCCCAAATCTCCAGGAATTTCCCAACCTAGAGCTGGCGACCCTAATTCCAACACAGAGCACTAGCTGTAGCACAAGAGCCAAGAACACAGACTAGAACAGGATGATCCCTGTAGCTGTTTAGTGTCACTCAAGTGAGGGTTTACTTCTCTTTAGCATTGAAACCCTAAATTATTGGCTCAGTGGTGGAGCATCTGCTTGGCATGCAGAAGGCCCCAGGTTTAATCTCCAGGGAAAGGATGAGGTAACAGGTGATGTGACAAGGCCGCTAACTGAATCAATGCAGAGTTGCTGCTGGTCACAGCAAACAGCACTGACCTTGACTTACTAATAGTCTCATTCAATAAAAGGCAGATTGGGAGTACATGCAAAGAGGGAGAGGATGGAGAAATAACTCAAGCGAATGAAGTTTAGCCAGCTTGATGTAGTGGTTAAGAGTGGCAGACTCTAATCTGGGAGAACCAGGTTTGATTCCCCACTCCTCCACATGCAGCAAGCTTGGGTGACCTTGGTTCAGTCCCATTTCTTTCAGAGCTGTTCTCTCAAGAACAGCTCTCTCAGAGCTCTCTCAGCCCCACCTACCTCACAGGGTGTCTGTTGTGGGGAGGGGAAGGGAAGGCAATGATTGTAAGCTGCTCTGAGGGTGAAGGGTGGCATATAAATCCACTTCTTCTTCTTGAAAGAAACCTCTTTCTTTGTAATAAAAATTCCCAGCTTGCATTATCAAACGCTTTTTCAGCATCAAGAAACATTAAGGCCATTTGTTTTTCTGGATGTAATTCATAATATTCTAATATGTTAAGGATGATTCGGATGTTATTTTTTATTTGTCTTCTCCGTAAGAATCCTGCCTGATCTTGATGTATGATTTGTACCAATACTCTTTTCAATCTGGAAGCTATAATCGATGCGAATAGTTTATAATCCGCATTCAACAGAGATATAGGTCTATAATTTCTTATCTCTTTTTCATCAGAGTTTGGTTTATGAATTAGTGTGATCAAGGCATGGTTCCACGAATCAGGAAGTTTTTGTGTTCTTGTTATATTTCGTAGTAAGTCTTTTAACGGCAATGATATTTGTTCTTCAAAAGTTTGGTATATTTCAGCTGGGAAACCATCTGGGCCCAGTGTTTTATTTCTTTTTTGTTTTTTTATTGCTTCTGATATCTCACACATTGTAAATTTTTCATTCAGTATTTTCTTTTGTTGATCATCATTTTTTTTGTATTATGTTTATGCAGAAAATCTTATCACATTTTGTTAATATTTTTTTTTATAAAATTGTTTTGTTATATTTTTTATCTCTTGTAAGTTATATTTTTCTTCTTTTTCATTTCTTAGTGCTTTAATTATCTTTCCCCCCCTTTCTTTTCTTAACTTATAGGCCAACCAGTGAGAGGGTTTATTTGCATTTTCGAAATAGAAGTGCTTGGTATATTCTTTTTGGCAATTTCTTGTGTTAGTATTAAGTCAAGTTGATGTTGTAGTAGATTTAACTTTTTTCCTGTGTGATCTAGATTTCCCTTCCTTTTATCTTCTTTTTTAATTTGGTTTTCCAAGTTAGTATATTGCACAGCTTTCTGTTTTTTCTTCCATGCATCTTGGTTGATACACCATCCTTTTAGGAAAGCTTTGAATGTGTCCCAAACTATATCTATTGGAGTTTCTGGTTCTATATTTATTTTGAAGAATTCTTGAATCTCTACTTTAGTTTTTTTGATAAATTGCTCATCTCATAGTAAATTTTTATTCATCGACCACCTATTCTTTTTAGGTATTGCCTGTACTGTTAACAGTTTTGGATTAAGGTCAGCAAATGTGTTGGGCAATATCTCCATTTCTATTATATCTTTAACCATAGCTGTTGAAATCCAGGCCATGTCTACCCATGACCATGAATTGTGTCGGGAAGAGTAATAGGTATAGTCTTTCTTATTAGGATTTCTGACTCTCCAGGCATCTATTAAGTTTTGTTCTTCGGCTAGTTCAAGGGAAGTTTTTGGTAGATTATTTCTAGATCTTTTTTTTTACGTTGTTTCTTCCTATCTATTACTGAGTCATATACTGCATTGTAGTCCCCTACAATGCATATTTCCTCAAAACTTTGGTTTGTTAATGTTTCTTGGAGTGATTTAAAGAAAGTATCTTGATTTTGGTTGGGAGCATATATATTTACAATTAAAGTATTTTTTTGTTGTCTTTTAACAGAAATTGCAACAATTCTTCCGTCATTAGATGTATAAACTAGTTCTGGGCATAGATTCTCTTTAACATATACGGCTACACCCCTTTTCTTCAGATCTGCTGAGAAAAAACTTTGCCTGTTTTTTTCGAAAATAAATATTTGTCATCGTCTTTCTTTATGTGAGTCTCTTGTATGCAAGTTATATCAGGTTTAAGTTTATTTATTTAGTGAAAAATCCTTTTCCTTTTTTGTGGGCCATTAAGGCTGTTAACATTAACCGATAATATCTTCAGTTTATTTCTTTCTTCCATTTTTGGTTGAAGTCTTTTTTATATTCACTCTGTATTGATATCTTGTTAAGATTTGTGAGGGTGTGTAGTTTGGTCTTTTCTTGCTTTTGATCTTTTCTTTTTTAGCTTCTTCGGTTTTGGGGTCATTTTCATCTTCCAGTTCAGTCTCCTCCTCCTCTTCTTCTTGCCACCCTAGGTTTTCGCTGTACCTTTCCAAGAAATCTTTTACTTTGAATACTGAATCGATCTTATGTCTTCTTCCCTCATAATTAAATAGTATTCCTTCTGGGAATAGCCATTTGTATGTTATGTTATTCCATCTTGATCTTGGCTCAAGGCAGCTCTTGCCTACTTTGTCTAACCCTATTCTGTTTGGAAGAGATTATTTGGCAATGTACCTGCTTTATCAGGAGAGGTGCAGGTAGGGTTAACCAGCTCCTAGCTGGGAAATATCTGGAGATTTTGGAGGTGGAGCCCGAGAAGGTTGGGGTTTGGGGAGGGGACATCAGTGGATTATAATGCCACAAAGTCTACCTTCCAAAGCAGCCATTTTCTCCAAGTGATTTTATCTTAGTCACCTAGAGATCAGTTGTAATCCCATGAGATCTCCAGCCACCACCTGGAGGTCGGCAACTCTAGGTGCAGGGTTAGAAGAATGCTCCTCCAGGATCCATTCCTGTAACTGCACATTGCCCCTAATTACACATTAATTCCATATTTCCCCCTCCTTCCCCTGCTCTTTTACTGTGAGTCCTAGCATGACATTCTCTGAAGATGATAGATGATGATAGATGATGATGATGATTGATAGATAGAGATATAAATGAAAGACTCACGCATCCACTTTTAAGTATCTCTGGTTTCTGTGAAGGCCGTCAATGGATTTCATGTCCTCCTGAGAGAGATGGAAATCAAACACCTAACCAAAAAGGAGAAAGGGTTAAGTCATCCCTGTGTTCTTGTATCACACATCCTATTGCATATCAGAGGCATTTCAGACAGCAAATATAAAGTATAGAGTTCAAAGATGCATTCATTCAAGGAGCTTACACTCTATCCAGGGTCCCCAACCTCTTTGACCCTGCAGGCCCCTTTGGAATTCTGGCACAAGGTGGTGCTGCAACCACAAAATGGCTACCGCAGGAGGCAGCGCCAACCACAAAATGCCAGGGAGTGAGGTTATGCACAACTCTAACTCTTCAACATTTCAGGCAGGAGCCCTGTTTAACAGGATGTCTTTTTAAAAATTAACATACTATTTAAACATATTTTCTTGCTGACATTTAGCCATGAAGTGAAGATTCATGTGCTGTGGCGGCAGCTGCTGTCAAAGTAACTCTTAAAAAATTTGCACCACCAAACAGATCTCCGGGGACCAATCAGAAGCCCTGCTGGGCAAAAGCCACACCCAATTTCTAAAAACATTTGGCGGGCTCCACAAAAAAACGCCGGCGGACGCCATGGCGCCCACAACTGCCACACTGGGAACCTTTAATCTAGATGCTGACAGTCAGGGATGAAATAATGAGAGAGGAGGAAAGGGAGGGGTCAAGAGTAAAAAGGGATGGAGTGGTTTTTGGATTTCCCAGCTTGAAAACATCTCAGGGGTACAACCTAGGAAGAGATGTGAATGGCACCAGCTGTGGGAAGAACAAGTGGCACATATTCCACCTCAGCTGCACTGCTGCCCTCTCTTCAGCGCCTTACCTGAATGTTTTCTTCTATCTGGTTTTTGGTGAAGGACTTCACCAGCACCACTAGGCCACGCTGCAGCTGGTAGCGTAAAGCCACGAGGGCCGGGCTTCGGTTGTACTTCTTTGCAATAGCAGCCAGCAGGGGGTCCTCAAGCAGAACGGGGGTCTCTTTATTTAACCTGCAAGCGAACCACATGGAAAAAGGGGAGCATTTCCAGTATCAAGAGAAGAAAAATCGCCTGAATTCATGCACCGCTGGCCCCTTCTACTGAGAAAACTCAATATTTTCTATTCGGAAGACTAATCAGAAGAGCTACTTGAATGGGCTGCTCAAGAATGTGCATCCCTTAACTGGGATGTTGCTCTCTTCATATCTGATTTCGGCATAAATGCCACCCTTTGATTTTGCCCTGACAGTCACAAGCACAAATTAAACTCAAAACCAGAAAGGATTCTTGTATGAAGCGCAACCTGCATAAGTGTTTGTGGGCTAGAGGCCACTTCTTCAAGTGCATGAACCATCAGTCAGGAAATTTTAAGTACACACACATATACCAGATACAGAGGGAAGAAAATTCTCAACACAGGCAAGCCATGAAAGAGGTCTAATCTGTGATGTTTCTATGCAAGACTCCACATAACACAAGATGACAGATTTACAATAGCTGTAATTGGTGACAACACAGTCTCCTTGGTTGTATTGGACTAGCTTAATTCCTGGAGTGGGTCAGAAACTCATTGGGCGTGGTCAGACGGCGTGCTGGGAGCAGTTTAAATTGCTCTGGCCCTGATGAGGTCTTTTTTAACCTGGAGAATTGCAATTACGCTCACCTCCTTGCTCCGGAACACTGCGCTGTTGTTTTTCTCTCTCTCTCAGTTTGGGCATGCGCACAGGCAGCCATCTGTGGAACTAAAAGTTTTGCACATGCGCAGAACAGCGATTTCCACTTCAACTCGACTGTTGTAATGCTTCCCTTTAAACTTTAAAGGAACACTTCCCTTTAAACGTTTACCGCTGAAAATGGCCTCTGTGAGATCCCAAACTCGTCTAAAGGCTAAAACTAGGCACCATTTAAACATTGTTTTTAATAACCCTGTGGCGGACCTCTGCCTATGCGCACGCCGCCAACGCTTTTTTAAAAATGGCAGGCAAAAAGCGGAAGCCTCGGGCAGCTTTCGAGCGGGGAGGGGGTTTAAACCGGAAGTGGCTCGACACCGCAGGAGCGATCACACAGGGGAAAAATGCGGCTGGAACCGGAGAATCAGGAAAACACCACTTGGGGACCTGGTATCAAAATACTCCGGGTTAAGCTGGAAAGCGATGGCTGGGGACGAGAGGCAGATGTTGACCATGTGACCGCGCAGATAAAATCCATTTCTGAGGCGGGCCGAAAGCGGACTAAACAGCCCGTCTGAACGCACCCACTGTCTCATTGATGCTCCTGATGTGGTTTTGGCATCTTTGTATCCCTACAGGACTATCACCTTTGTCCCTCTCTAGGCCTCTTTACTGAATAGTGTCATCCAGCTTCTCTTCTTACCATGCAGCATTCCTTTGGGACCCCAGGGCACTATATGCTTCCAGGAGGATGTCCTTTGATTTGCAGAAGGCCAACATCTTGCTCTGGTTCAGGTAAGGGTGGCTTTCAACCTGCACCATTGCCAGACAAAACAATTCCGGTGATGTGAACAAAAGCACAGTGAGAAAGAAGGAAGTATTTTTACTGGATACAGAGAGATACAACCTTGGAGGGGGGTTAGCCCTATTTGCCTGTAGCAGCAAATATAAACAGGAGTCTCTCTGCACCTTAAAGATTAACTCGTTTTTATTCCACATAACCTTTGTAAATAAGAGGCTATGGGTGTGCACGTGCACTGCTTCACACCCCTTCCTCTCCTGCATGATAACTGGCTCTAGCCCAGTCAGACATTTCTGGTGTAAGGGCTTTTCTGTATTTTAATTTCCCTCACTTGTAAGTTCCTGTTTCTTTGGGGTAGGGATCCTGTATCACATGTGTTTTGCTCCCTCTAGTGGTCAATTCATTATTACACTGATTTATTTCTGGCATAAAAATCTGCAGGAAGATATGCCAGACATAAACCTGTATAATATGAAATCGACCACTAGAGAGAGCAAAACACATGCAGAACAGAAACCCTCCCCTCCGAAGAAACAGGAACTTACAAACAAGGCAAACAAGAATGCGGAAAAGCCGTATGTGTGGAGGAGCAGTCAGGTGCCCTGGGCGAGAGCGTTGAATAGAGTCTGAGATATTTAGAAGGAAAAAGATCTTTATTTACCAAAATACAATTTCAATTCACTAGAGCAATTTCAATTCATTAGAGCACAAGAGCACTGAAAATACTATCAGGTATTATTAAACCTAAGAAAACCAAAAGGTGTGATTAAGAAGAAGAAGAAGAAGAAGAAGAGATTGGATTTATACCCCACCCTTCACTACCCAGGGGAGTCTCAGAGCGACTTACAAACTCCTTTCCCCTCCCCTCCCCACAACATACACCCTGTGAGGTAGGTGGGGCTGAAAGAGCTCTGACATAAACTGCTCTTTTTCAAGGACAGCTCTTGTCAGAACTATGGCTTGCCCAAGGTCATCCAACAGCTGCAAGTGGAGGAGTGAGGAGTGGGGAATCAAACCCGGTTCTCCCAGATTAGAGTCCACGCACTTCACCACTACACCAAACTGACTCTCTATAGTAACTAGGTTACTATAGCAGAAAACCTCCCACCGGCAGCCTCCAACCCAAATCCTCACAACAACTCAGTAGGCTGGTATGAGAAAAAAATAAGGCAAGAATCAGCAACAGGATGACATCATTTCTGGGGTGAACCTGGAGTCAGCAAGAACATTACAGCTTCTGTGGAATCCATGAGTGTCCTACCGTCACTTCCATCTATCCTCAGAAGTGATATCATGGTATATGCGATGCCAGCACCCCTCCACGTTCCCATCTGCAAGATCCCATGTTTGCCCTGGCAACCCTACTTGGTAACCTCATCTAACCACGTGAAGACCCACCTCATGCATTTGACTGAGCTCCACAAATGCTTGTGCTAGAATAAAAACATGTTAGGTTTTAAAGTGTCACAAGACTCTCAATTAACTTCTTTCAGGCAGCAGCTCCATATCAGACTCTTGAACAAAGTTACTCTCAACAACACTCGCTGGCAGTGATCTGTTTACTGAGTAGTAAAGAGGATTCAAGCTAAGACTTTCTGTGTCAGAACTAAGGTTCTGGCGCCAAGGCCCAGAGTTATACATAGTTCAAACAAGCCCCCCCCCCCAACGGTCCAGTCCAATCGTAGCCCACATTCAGCCTGCCCAGATTTCACGCGCTCCAGTCCCCACCTGCGAATCTACCGTTATATTATCTATTACTTCAGAGCAAGCACAGACAGCATCCAACGTCATTGCTCTTCATCCCTGGGAAGGGAGGCATCTTAGAAAAGAGTTACCCAACCACTACAACAAAGCCAGCCTCACACACATCTACTCACCCCTCCCCTTAGGAATTCCAGTTTCCATTTGAGAAGGAGAAGAAGAAGAAGAAGAGATTGAGCAGGAACATTACAGCTTCTGTGGAATCCATAAGTGTCCTACTGTCACTTCTATCTATCCTCAGAAGTTATATCATGGTATATGCGATGCCAGCACCCCTCCACGTTCCCATCTGCAAGATCCCATGTTTGCCCTGGCAACCCTACTTGGTAACCTCATCTACTACGTGAAGACCCACCTCATGCATTTGACTGAGCTCCACAAATGTTTGTGCTAGAATAAAAACATGTTAGGTTTTAAAGTGTCACAAGACTCTCAATTAACTTCTTTCAGGCAGCAGCTCCATATCAGACTCTTGAACAAAGTTACTCTCAACAACACTCGCTGGCAGTGATCTGTTTACTGAGTAGTAAAGAGGATTCAAGCTAAGACTTTCTGTGTCATAAACGTTCAGCAAAAGTTTGCAAAGTCCACAAAAGGTCATCCATTTCACCTGGTTTAGGACGGGCTTGTATTTCAGTCCTGGTTTGCTGAGGATCATTTCCAATTGCTGACGGTTGAAGTTGGAGACTCCAATAGATTTCACTAAGCCAGCATCTTTGCATGCTTCCATTGCCTATGAAAGAATAGCAGCACCTTTCATATTTCCAATGAGTGAGTCCTGCTTTTGATCTGGAGGCACACTTCTGTTGCTCTGGTTACAATCCTAAGAACGCCCTCCTGGCAGTAAACCCTCTCGAATTAAATGGGGCTTACATCTGAGTGGACCTGCTGAGGATTGGTCCTTTGCTGGAAAAAGTTTGTTTTTAGCGTGTGAACTAGGGTTGCCAACTCTGGGTTAGGAAATTCCTGGAGATTTGGAGATGGAGACTGGGGAAGGGTATGGGGGCAGGAGCGATCTCAACAGAGTATAATGCCATAGAGTCTCTGTAGGAAGGAGAGCAGCAGGGGGCTTTTTCAGCCCTCCCCGTAGACGGCAAATCGCGGGGAGGTGACTGACATGCCCTGAAGCAGGGCCATGTTTCCCTTAGTGGCGACCAGCCATTGTTTTTAAACTGTATATGAAGAAAACAGTAATTTTCTCAAGGGAAATTGTTCTCTGTCATCTAAGGATCAGTTGCAATTCTGGGAGATTTCCAGGGAGTGAAGCGCTCTGGATTTAAATGCCCTTAGAAGATGTTCCCAATTATGACGAAGCGGCTGTGAAACGACTGGGAATGGAATGTAGTGTAAAGTGGAAGGGGTAAGAAAAGTTTTTTTCCTATCTGAAATGCAACTGGCTGTTATGAATGGAAGTTGATGGAAAGTAGCAAAATTAAGAAACTAAAAGGGTTGTATTAGGTGACTTTGGAAATTTGACTTAGGAATCTGCAGCATTGGGGAATTGAGAATGGTGTGACTTGCTGTTCTGGATATGCCTCCCATTGGGAATGGTAGCTTTGGGTGTCTCTGCACTGAATGTTCCAAACACACCTGATGAAAAGAAATGTCACAATTATCCACGCTCCTCTAGCAGGTGCTGATTGGCACAGCCAGAACAGTACGGTGTGCGGAGGCACCTTCTTCAGAGTAAGTTCTTAATTCTTATTTTATTCATTCTCATGACAACCATGTTCCCATTTCACAGATTAGGAAAGAAGAATGCAGTACAGTACCACTCTTAAGGCATGGCTGATGCTTTACAATGGCTGGAACGTTATGGTACATGTAACCTTGGAAAGGAAGAGGACCCCTTCCAAACACTTGGGCACTTGGCTGCAAAAAGGCACCCTTCCCAGGAGGATTCGCCATTCTACACCAATTTTTTAAAGTCACAGGAACCCTATCAAGGTTTGAGCTCAGCAACCTCAAGCACCTACCTCCCAAGTCTGACGGAGATCTACATTGTCATAAATCAGTTTTCCATTTTCTCCCAACGGAAGTGGGTTTGGTCCAGGCTGAAAACAAAAAGGGGAGTACAACTGTGACCTAAAAATGACCAGCACCAGTGATTTCTCATTCTTTTCTCCTTTACCACTTAGTACTTAAGAGTAAGGCAGGGAAGGGGCTGATTCCACAGTAGAAGAGCGATCGCTCAACTCAGGGAGAAGCAGTGGCTCTGTGGTAGAGCATCTGCTTGGCATGTAGAAGGCCCCAGCTTCAACTCCAGGTATCTCCAGTTAAACAGATCTGCGAATAGACTATGTGAAAGACCTCTGCCAGAGATCCCGGAGAGCCACTGCCAGCCTGAGTAGACAATACTGACTTTGATGCACCATGGGTCTGACTAAGTATAAGGCTGCTTTGTGTGTGTTCAAGTCACTCTGAGGGCTTCACTCAGTTATAATATTTAACTCAGTACTTTCTTTTTATCCTCTGGTAATCTCCCCTTTTTTTCTTTCTGTGTTGGATAGTTTTTTCTCTTTCCCCACAGGATTTCACCTCCATCTCCCAGTTACCCCTTTTCGTCCATTGGCCTCTTTGCACCCTGTTATTCAGTCTTTTCTCAGTGTCTCTCTCAGCCCCTTCTTCTCTAAGCTCTCCAAAAAATCTTTCCCCACCCACAGGCCTCTCTGTATCCTCATTTCTCCACTTATCTTCCTTAGGACTCTCCCTTGTTCTTCCTCTTCCCATGTTTTCCCTGGTTCTCCTTGCTCCAATACAAGGCTTTCCTTCTGCCAGAAAGGCAAACAGTGAAGGAGTCTAGTCAAGCTGAGCAACGTGGCTGGTTATTACAACCCAGCGGAAAACTGGTGTCCCTTCCACTGTACATTTCTAAATTAACCTTGTTAAACAAACAAACAAACAAAATTCCGAATTCCTCTTTACCCAAAGTCTCCTGAAAACCCCACAATCCATTTCTTTCCCTCTTTTTAGGAATTTTAGAGTCTGTTTCTAATAGGGTTGCCAGCCTCCAGGTGGGGCCTGGAGATCTCCTGCTTTTACAACTGATCTCCATCTGACAGAGATCAGCTCCCCTGGAGAAAATGGCTGCTTTGAAGGGTGGACTCTATGGCATTGTACCATGCTGAGGCCCCTCCCCTCCCCTCCCCAAACCCCACCCTCTCCCAGATCCACCTCCAAAGTCTCCAGGTATTTTCCAACCCAGAGCTGGCAACCCAAGTTTCTAATCAATCCCATCTTGATCAGGTGCTTTCAGAAAGCGGGAGGGGCAGGGCTTCTGACTGACTGAGCAGATTAAAAGGCATCCTGTTAAACAGAGTTTCTGCTTGAAATGTTGAAGAGTAACCTTGCTCTGTGACATTTTGTGGTTGGCTCCATCTCCTGAGGCAGTGGCAGCCATTTTGTGATTGTGCCCACCACCCTGTGTCAGAATTCCAAAGGCACCCACAGGCTCTAAAATGTTAGGGACCCCTGCTTCACAGCACGCATACTGCAGAGAAGGCAAGACAAAACGTGCCTAATGATCAATAGTGTATGTTTGAAAGTGATTTACCTTTGCCCTAAGAACCCCTGGGAGTTGTATTTCTGGGAATTTCTCACAGAGAAGGTTTAGCAATGTCACCAAACTGCAGTTCCCAAGATTCTTCGGGAGTAGCCATGACAGTTAAACTAGTACCCATATCTGTTTGAAGAAGAGTTGGATTTAAATCCTGCCCCTCACTTGGAGTCTCAGAGCGGCTTACAATAATCTTTCCCTTCTTCTCCCCACAACAGACACCCTGTGAGGTAGGTGGGGCTGAGAGAGCTCTGAGAGAACTGCTCTTGAGAGAACAGCTCTGAGAGAACTGTGACTGACGCAAGGTCACCCAGCTGGCTGCATGTGGAAGAGTGGGGAATCAAATCCGGTTCTCCAGATTAGAGTCCGCTGCTCTTAACCACTACACCAAACTGGTGTAAATATATCCTGTCTTTTCCTATATAGTGGCCAATCTGTTCTGTCTCACTGAAATACTGTGCTCAATGCTTGCATGACAACTTCAAGAAACATTTACCTGAAGAGCATAAGGGTTGTGTATTATGAATAGATCCATGTAATCAAACTGGAGTTTCTTCAGTGATTGTTCTAGGCATGTCTGAACCAATTCAGGACGGTAGAAGGTGCTCCACAACTGTCAGAAATATACACAGATTCATTCCTTTCCATAACCACAGAATTTTAGGGCTTCCAGTGGTCCATCTAGTTCAGAATCATGGTGAAACAGATTTCTCTATACACCTCAACTACAGGAGAAACTGATGCGTCTATCAAAGAAGAATTAGCACTGAAGGTCACACTGGAACCATATTCTGAAAAGGAATCAGAATTTCTATTGTTTGGAGTGAAGCTATAAGAACATAAGAGAAGCCAATGTTGGATCAGGCCAAGGGCCCATCCAGTCCAACACTCTGTCACACAGTGGCCAAAAATACCATCAGGAGGTCCACCCGTGGGGCCAGGACACTAGAAGCCCTCCCTATCCTGTTACACAAAATGAAACTTCCTTTTAAGTGTTCGTGATAATGGCTGGCTTTTTGCCAGCCCCAAAACCACCTCTATCTCTCCACTTTCAACACTCGGGACAAAGTTCTGTTCTTCTTATGACTTAAAATAAATAAATAAATAAAACAATTCAAATTCATTTACCTTTCCTGTATAGAAAATATCCTCCCTTTTTACTGTGCCATCGGCAATCTTCTCACGAACAGCTCGCCCAACCTGTTCCTCGGTGTTGTATAGATAAGCGCAATCAATGTGGCGGAAGCCAACTTCTATGGCTATCTTTGTAGCTTCCTCACACTTACTTTTTTCAGCCTGCCAGTTAAAAAGGGAAAACTTGCCAGTAAATGTTTGTGGTTCAGTGTTACTTCACATTTCAAGGAATGTCTATTCCCAGATGATCCCATCTGCTCTTTGAGAGGAGTCCGTCAGGCCTGTGCTAGCCTGGGCTTCCATCTTGGAGGAAGCAAGACTGGCATCCACCAGTTCCAGGTTAGGACATTCCTGGAGATTTGGGGGTGGAGCCTGGAGAGGGCAGAGTTTGGGGAGGGAGGGAGCTCAGCAAGGTTGTGATGCCAAGTTGCCAGCTCTCTCCTATCAATTGGTTTGAGGAAGAGGGACTTACCAGTGTCAGGAGGAGGGGGGCCTTGCCCATGTCACTGGTGACATGGAGACGTCACGTCCAGTGTTGCAGCAACACTCTGGTATTTGGGGGGGAAACTCTGTGGTAGAAGTCATTTTTACCATAGAGTGTTTCTCCGAATACCAGAGTGTTGCTGTGTTGCCAACAATGTGATGATGTCTCTTCCAGTACACACTGGAAGTAACATCGTTGTATTGCCAGCGACAGTGGTCTAAGTCTGCCTGTTTTGCCAGTAAGCCCCCTCACCATTCAACCAACAGTGGGGGCGGGGCCTGGCAATCCTAGATGCCATAGAGTTTGCCCTCCAAAGCTGCCTTTTTCTCCAGGGGAACTGATCTCTGTATTCTAGAGATCAGTTCTAGTTCCAGGAGAACTCCAGGCCTCACCTGGAGACTGACAACTACGATGCGTTGCCTCTGTAAAAAGTGGGCTGTAGTGCACAAAAGCATGTTCTGAATAAAATTTAGTTAACCTCTCAGGCACCACAACAATCGTTTCTATTTTGCTCTGACATGACTGCTGGGAAGGTTCCCAATCCCTTGTGAGCACCCTCCAGTTCACGTTTGCTGATGAGGCCGTCCCACCTCCATCCCCCTTCTGAAACACTCCCTGACCCTTTCAGACTCCCCCTTGCAATAGAAGTGATGGGGTGGGAGGGAGGGGCGAGGACGGAATGCCAAGGACGATTCCCCAGTAGGTTTGCCAGCTCCAGGTTGGGAAATTCTTGGAGATGTTGGGGGCAGAGTCTGGGGAGAGCAGGGTTTTGGTAGGGACTTCACTGGGGTATGATGCCATAGAGTCCATCCTTCCAGAGTGGCCATTTTCTCCAGGTGAAGTGATCTCTGTCACCTGGAGGTCAGTTGTAATCTTAGGAAATTTGCAGCCAGCACCTGGAGGCTGGTGGTTACCCAGCAGTCTTACTTTCCTTTTCAGGTGATCTTGAGCAATGACTAAAAGAATAATACTTTTATTTACTAAAGGAAAACGTTGGACAGAAATTTGATGACCAAGTAGGTTGCGTTTGGATCACTGTCTAGCATCGGACAGGGAATATTATCCATCTGAAGTTTATTAAACGCAGAGCATATTAAAAGCGGTGTGAGTTAAATGCGGTGTTAAAAGCGGTGTGAGTGTATGTTAAGAGCGTGTTAAAAGCAATTAGATCCAATGGTTCCTAAAAGTGGTAAAAGAAGAAGAGATTGGATTTATATCCCACCCTTCACTATCTAAAGGAGTCTCAGAGCGGCTTACAATCTCCTTTCCCTTCCCCTCCCCACAACAGACACCCTGTGAGGTGGGTGGGGCTGAGAGAGCTCTTTCGAGAACTGCTCATGAGAGAGAAGCTCTGAAAGAACTTCTAACTGATCTAAAGTCACACCAGCAGCTGCATTTGGAGGAGTGGGGAATCAAACTCGGCTCTCCCAGATCAGAGTCCGTGCTCCTAAACACTCCACCAAACTGGCTCTCAAAATCGACCCTCCAATATCATGTGAGAGTGTCAATTTTACCCTGACCACAAGGGCAGAGACAATCTGAAAATGAAATACAATGAAATCTTCCCTGTAATACTTTGGAGGGGATGGCATTAAGGCAAGCTAAAGTGAATGCCCTAACGAGGTGGGGGGCCGTTAGCCATCTCACGTACTGGCAAAGTCCGAGGAAGTAAAATACAAAAAAATTGACTCAAGCAGACTCTGCAGGAGCAAATCACCATGCTGTTGTAATCCAGCTCAGTAAGGCGATACTGGACACAGGAAAGGGCCTTTGCCATACCCAGCAAGAAGATATCTTCAGTTATAAATCCTAGCTGCCTTAATCTAGCATCTTCTGTCTTCATCCGTCGAGAACGGCAAGCACCTCAGACCTTCAGCTTCCGAAACAAAAATAATCCTTAGCCTTAGCTTGAAAGCACTGAGCCATGCTCTAGCTTCCATTGTATTTTGGTCGAGTTCAGCTCTGGAAGATACATCTGAGATGGAACGAGAGAATCCCATTATCTTACGTATATACTGACATTGGGAATGGTCAAACGATTCTGAGATTGCCAAAATCCAGATAGCAACCCCACATAGTAACTGGGATATTATTTTAGAACTGAACGCCTTAATTGCACTGGGGACCAAAACTGTCCACAATGACACCCCAGGGAAATGATGAAGGGCGCTGTCACTCATCCCTACTAAAGACCTTCCTTGATACCCACCCCAACCATCATAAGACCAGAGTTTTTTTGTAGTGATAATCAGAAATGCAAGTCGCCAGAATAATAAGAAACAAATGGGGCACTTACATCATCCGGGGAATAGGTACCAAATCCAAGCACAGGGATTTTGTTCCCATCGTTCATCCTAATGGCATGATCTTTGCTCTGTGCCATCTCTCTAAGTGCCTGTTCAGTCCTTCGAGGAATGCTGAAACTTCACTGTACTTCTGTGAAAACAAACGCTCCAGAGAGAGAAAAGGGTGAGGCTTAATACAACAGCATTCGTGAGACAGGAGTGGCCAGGCAAAGGGCTTCTTAGGAAGCCAGTGAGATGGGTGGGGGAAGTGCCTCCTGTTGTCCAGAGGCCGGTCAAATATTACTAGCATCTGAGCAGAGTCCAACAAAGGGTGTCTTTATGCCTCCTGGGACACACTCTGTGGATCTTTCAAGACTTGCAACAGGGGTCACTTTGACATAGGGATTGCTGTCTTAACATTATTTTCACAAGGAGAACGACAGCTTAAAGATGCAAACTAGGCTTAACTTGTTTCGACCACCCCAATAAAACAGCTCAGATACTTGTCAGAATCCTGATTAAGGCACTTCATCCAAGCAAAGCTATCTCTTTACTGCACTAACTAAGGTGATGGGTGTAGTGGTTAAGTGTTGGAATAATATCAGGGAGACCTGTATTCGAATCCCCACTCGTCCCATGTAAGCTCACTGGGTGATCTTAGGTTCAGGTGGGGCAGCCGTGTGGGTCTGAAGCAGCAGTTCAGAGTTTGAGTCCAGGGGCACCTTTAAGACCAACAAAGTTTTATGCTGGATATAAGCTTTCGTGTGCTTCTTCAGATGTGATTTTAGGCCAGTCATGGTCACTCAGCCTAACCTACCTCAAAGGGTTGTTACGGAAGGGAGTAAGTAATACAAAAGATACAAAAGATCAAACCATGCATAAATGACGAAAAATATATATTCAACATTCAATAAGTGTAATAATCTAACCTAAATAGAGTAGTTTTTCAAAAATACAATATAGAAGCCAGAAACTCAAAAATACATGGTCCAAACACAAAAACAGTCCTATTAATTCACCTTCAGGAATAGCCCAAGTCAAATTCCTCAAAGAGTGAAAAGTCCAAATCTAGTGTTTAGAATTCCTCCTCGAAAAGCTTGTCTCGCTGCTTGTTTACCTACTTCACGGCCCCACCGGCTTCAAGTTGCCGTATTGCCCTGCTTCCTCAAAAGTGGAACACCAGAACCACCCAGCTCCAGTGCTGAATGATACACAACATCTTTTTCATTCTTAATGTACATAGGACCAATTACTGTGATGTGCGCCTTGGTGTTTAGTCATGCCGGCCACATGACCACAGAAACGTCTTCGGACAGCGCTGGCTCTTCGGCTTTGAAACAAAGATGAGCACCACAACCCTAGAGTTGGATTCGACTGGCTTTCGAGCAAGGGAACCTTTACCTTTATCACATTCCCTAGGCGAGTGTGCGTGGAGGAGTCGGAGGAGGAGAGGTAGATGGGGAAAGGTGCTGGTGCTATTGTTCTCCCATCCAGAGCATGTACTGCCTCTGCACAAAAGACAAAGTGGAGAGAAACTACTGCAGTAGATTTAAAGGGAAGGATAAGGAAACTATTCAGCAGCACCAGAGGGCGGGGCAGAGAGCTACTTTGTGTTGCTTGTAGGGTGACTTGTCACTCCTGAGTGACTTTCTGCCCTCTCCTGAGTTAAATCACAAACTGTCTGTACTTCCTGGAGGGAACTGATTGCACCAACCCTGGATGGAGGGGGATATCAAGAAGAAATGCAAAATATGTCAGCAAGCATGTTTTGTTTTGGGGTACAGATTTCAGAGAATTGAATGTTCCTGTAATATATCACTTATGAAAGACACAGTCTGCAAAAACATACCGGATTCATTTCAGGGCAAACTGGATGAGAACTGGTGCCTCTACTCTTTACTTCTAGCAAACAGCAGAAGGCAAAGGCCAGAATGGCCAGCCCTAACCTGAAAACCACCCATCTAATCTGTCTACGGCCCATTCTGCATCTAGCATTCGCTCCGCTGTTTTACCAAACCCACGTTGGAACAGAAATTCCCCTCTGCATTGCATGCCACTTTCAACTTCTAGCAAACAGCAGAAGGCAAAGGCCAGAATGGCCAGCCCTAACCTGAAAACCACCCATCTAATCTGTCTACGGCCCATTCTGCATCTAGCATTCGCTCCGCTGTTTTACCAAACCCACGTTGGAACAGAAATTCCCCTCTGCATTGCATGCCACTTTCATTTTCTTTGGTTGTCGGCAATGTTCCCTCTAAGCTGTGGAGTCTGGTCAGCAAAAATTCTACTTGGTGAGTTCCTGGCATTAAAGTCGTGAG